AATATACATCAACTCTATAAAGCTCGTGCAAATTATATAAAAAATTCATATACTAGTAGCAGTTATAGAAGCTAATGTTTAGCAAGCTATTCAGCTGTTCACATATACAGAGATATGCCACTGAACCAAAACATTTGAAACATTCTAGATAATCAGTTATGTCAGTGCAAGCAAGCCAGTTAGGCTAATGGTCTCCATGTTCTATATAGTATAAATAAGCTGGTTTATCAACCAGACTAATCATTGGCTTCCCAATGTGCTAGGACTCTGGTGGTCTTCTAAATGCTGCTAATAATACAGTGGTTAGAATGCAGTATTGCAGACTAACTCTGCATTACCACTGCCAGGAGTTCATTCCTGGTTCACTCAGCTTTCCACCTTCCAAGGTTGGTAAAATGAGGATCCAGATTGTTGGGGGCAATATGCTGACTCCGTAAACTCCTTAGAGTAGGCTCTAAAGCACTATGAAGTGGTATATAAGTGTTATTGCTATTCTGGTTCTGAGAATTCATGTGACCTCACAAAGGTTTCTCATTCCTGTTTTCTCAAACCATGAGATTTATTCCACTGTTCTCTTTAAGATTCTGAACAAGCTTCTGTTGCTTAATTTATCTCCCTTTCAATCCTGAGCTCCTAGCTAATTTTTCTCATACACAATTTTTTTGCATTGGAAAACAAAAGCTCACGTTCTAATTAAAAATCGCATCATCTATTGCAAGAGACATGCAGCTTTCTACTCTAGAGATGTAATTAACAAATTGATAATAGGATCCAACAGCCAAACAAATACCTTTAATAGCCCTGACCCAGTCTCTAGTCCTTCTCATACTAAACCCTATTTCCTCACAGATATGTTTCTACCCAGTCTACTATCCCTAGTAGGTATATTTAATATAACTGATATTACAGCATTATTAATGTAGTGCTATCAAGGTCCTCAATTATAAAATATCTTGAGATGCCAATTATTCTACTAGGCCTGGCCAGCTTTAATATTAATTTTTGATAAGACCAAAGTCATAAAAAGTTTTTAGTCTGCATTTTCTAATTTTGCCACTTCCATCCTGTACTTGTATATAGAGCTGAAGGAAATAGTAGGTGACTGCCAAAGGAAAATCTTTAGGGCAGGTACTAGAAAGCAAGTGAAGGCACTCACTGGTACTAACCATTGTTTCTTGGAGTCATTCCCATCTTGCTTGCCAGAGAGGTCTTAATTCTTTGTCAACATGTATCTCTTATATCAAAGTTCTGCTGAATGTAAGCTCTATCGCCACTATGTGGTACAATCAAGAAAAATACAAGCTTAAAAAACCCCAACCCTCACCAATATGAGCATACACACAGGCACACACATATTAATAGAAATAAAGACTACATCATATAAATGCTCTGAACATATCCCTAGTCAACCAATTTCATTTGTCAACCAATTATTTGTCTGGGGGGAAACCCCATATCAACCCCCTTTTTATGGTCGATCAAAAATCTGAGGATTATCAAGAAATATTTTATATGCCCATTTAATGGAATTGTAAGAGCCTACCTCCTCCTATATAGTTATGTGTGTATTTGAAAAAAAGGACCCTGCCCTCACCAAATGAGGCTTATTTAAATTGTTATTCTGAGAACAAAACCTCATAAACTGTGCAAGTTACCATCCAATAATCTTTTGTTAAGTACAGCTAAGATTCTGACTAAAATTTTGGCATTATTGCAAAAGGTATTACCATCAATCATCCTGCACAAACTGGTTTTATGAAAGGGCATCAGGCCATTGAAAACATTAGATTATTTGTACTGTAGGTATCTTAACAGGCAGTGGAGGAAGTAAACATTTAAAACTATTACACTGATGTTCAGTTATATTCCTAAAGTTTGGAACATGTCTATTTATCAAGAGTACCCTGGACAGGGACAGTGAAAGGGCCAGAAGTAGCCCCATGTCTGGATTAGACAATATACTTCTATGTTCTCAAGGTTCACTTTCTTGTTTAGAAAATGGAGTTGTATTAATTTATACAAAGACACAACTATTACATTCTACTTAGAAAATAAGAAAAAAATCCATGTTTTTTTCTTTCTCCTTTTGCAATGGTTTGTTAGTTCTATTTAGATTTTATATAGTTTTGTTTGACTTGTCTTTAAAGTTTTTTTTAATAATCACTAGTAGTTTTAAGAATATTGACAACTATTATTTAAAAATAATAATTACAATTCTAAAATCCTTTTAAAAACCTCAGACCTTTCCTCTCATGAGCTGTAACTAAAGTTCATTTAGTCCTTTTTCCATTACAAGGACTAGTATTTCAGAACATTTATGAATTACAAATTTAGGGAATATTTCCATTCATAGCTTCTCAACTACATAAGTGGTTAAATACAGCCAGACAGTAACAAGGTCCAGATGCTTCATGAAGTTTAACAGAGAGGACTACACGTATTTTATTCCATACCATGAACTTTTATATTCCTGTTAAGATTCAGGCAAACTCCTTAGTCTTAGGGACTAATACTCCAAAGGTTCTTTTGCATGTGGTGTTAGAAACAATATATCCTGGGTCAAAATGTAAAATGTTTCATACACTATGAAGTATATTAAAGAAATGTTTCCAAACCAGCTAAACAACCAAACATATGGAAAGATTACATAAATGAGGCCAGGATTTACATTTTTAAACCTGATTAAATTGTTTGCTCCTGTGAGCATGAAAATTAAGAAGGGACACAATGTCACAATCTGTCTCACATCTTTATTACACAAAAATTGTATTCTATTTTGAATATTGTGAATAGTTCAGTTTCCTTTTTTTAAAACAAATTTTATACAGAAGAAAATATTGATAGATGGAACTTAAACTATCGGAATGGGTAACCTTATGAAGAAGCATCTAAACATTGACACGTTATCTTTCAAAACACTTCCGTTCCAAATTATTCACTGCAACAAAAACTCTAACTTCAGAATACAAACAAATGCTCCTTTATGAAATGCATAATATACAAGATACAATGCTACAGAAGCTGCAATAGTTACTAGTTGATTCAATTTTCCAAATGATTAAATAATTCGTGGACAGTAGCCAAAGCTGAAAACAGCTTTTTCTATCAAAAACAGTGTGCTTGATTATAAACAAAAGAAGAGTTAGCCTGCTTTCCATCTTCTAGGAATGTATGGTTATTTAGTACAGTAAGAGAGACAGAACACTAAATTTATCCTTAATAAAATCCAGCCAGATATTCTGGTTTTATGCTTTACATTTGTACAGTATAGCTGAACTTGACCAAGTGCCTGTTTGCAGGCATATCGTACTATCAGGTCTTGTCCCAATCTCTTACTACATTTCTGAAATAAATTATATGGACAAAGGCAGCCTCCTTTCCACCATTCAGTTTCAACTTCAGGGGCATCTAAAGATTCCATAGTTTCCAAGAAGCCATCTTGCTTCCAGTACCAGCTCTGGACAGGTTATATAAAGGCTTCTTTTAGCTCAAAATGCCCACTAGCAGAGAAACATCTCCCAATCTACTCACCCCACCACACACACCTAACAAATATATCAAAAGAAGGCAAGTCCTACTGGATGAGTATTCCCAAATGCAGTATCCTAGCAGGTACAGCTAGTCCTCAATTTACAACAATTCATTTAGTAACCATTCAAAGTTACACTGGCACCGAAAAAAGTGACTTATGACCATTTTCAAAGTTATGGCCTTTGAAGCATCCCCATGATCATGTGATAAAAATTCAGGTGCTGGGCAATTGGTTCATACTTGTTAGGCATATAAGTCACCTAAAAGGTATTTGGGTTAGAAATATATAAACCAGGATAGACATTTTAGTACTATGTCTTTAAGAGATTGCAAAAACTGTAATTGGGTGTGGTTTTTCAAACAGCCATAAGATGGAGCCAGAAACGTGGATTGTCTTAGCCTTAGTCTCAGAAGAGAGTGAATCTCTGTTTCCTTCTGTTGAAAGTATTGCCGTTACTCCATTTCTTCTAATTGACTGATATTACTGGATTTGATGTAGGTTTGTTACTGAACTGTTTTTGACACTGGACTTTGTTATTGAATTATCCCTGGATTGAAAAAACTGACTGATTCACCTGTGAATGATTTTGGACTGCTTATCTTGAACTTTGCTTAAACTTTCTGGAAGTAAAAACCTACGTTTACTGTACAGTGTATCTGTGTACTATGTGTGTATTATTCAAACACTACTCTCTATATGTCTCCCTGTATGCGCTCATTCTCCTAAAGGGGAATTACCTCAACAATACTTATGACTTTTCTGTATCCCGAGGGCATGTGATCCCCTTTTGCAACCTTCTGACAAACAAAGTCAATGGGGAAGCCAGATTCACTTACTAACTTATCACCTGCAGTGATTCACTTAACAACTGTAGCAAGAAAGGTCATAGGGCAAAACTCATTTAACAAATGTTTCACTTAACAACCAAAATTTTGAGCTCAGTTGTGGTCATATGTCGAGGACTACCTATGTACAATTCTCACAGGTTCAGAATCAGAGAGGAAAGGCAATGATTTGTTCTGGCTCTATGAGGAAACAAATTTGAAGCATCTTCTCAGTATTGGAGCTGGAATGGTAAGAAGGGTGATGTGCATTCCCTGAAGTTCTTGGGATAGGAAAAAAGCATCAGGATCATCATTTTCACCACAGACTATATGAATGATAATTATCATAACAATAATGATCAAAGCTGTCCAATGTTGATACACTATTGTAAAGAGACAATCCAAAAAAACCCCATTATCAATTCCATTTAGCAGACCTAGGGAAGGGTTGTTGACTCTGAAGTGTATCTCTGCTCTGCAAGTTCCAGAATGGTGGCAATGCAGAGATGAGTTTTCACTGAGGTGGTGCCAATTCTGTGGAATGATATCCCCTCGGTGATACAAATTGATTGTATTATATTGTGTACCAATACATTCCCTGAACGTGACAAACAACAGAAAATGTAAAAATAAAGATGATTTACCAAAGCAAACACCACGGTGTGGGATGAAGGCTTTACAGGCTGCTGCAATAGCCAATTCAGCTGAAATTACTGTCTTAATTATCAGTTCCTCCACGCTGGCCATCAAAGCTAAGATAAAAATGGGACAGAAAACACAAGCAATAATGTTAATATTTTAATAGGGAAAACAAAATGTAGCTTCCGATGCAAAATGATGTCCCCTGATCTTTATAACCACACAACATTTAATCCTTTTATTAGATGAGTTTGGCATATATAGCATGTGTTTTGGTGACATTTGTCTGACTTTTCCATCTTGTTTACAGCTTTTATTGTACTTATTTACCTTATTCCATTTGTAGTTCAGTTTTTGTACTGTAAGCTGACTAAAATTGGTTTGAATCAGGTGGTATCAAAATCAAAACAACTAAACAAATTTGGAACTCTTTTTATTGATTTGAAATATTTTGTACATCTTAAATAATTTTTATTTAAAAGATTCTGAAATGATTTATAGAAACAAAATGTTGGTTTTATCAAATGTTTAAAGAAGGCATGATAACATGTTCACCTTCTAGTTTATTCCAAAAGTCTCTTCATGAAAAATGTTCCACAAAGTCCTAACTTTTTCTAACTGTCAAATAGATTTTGCTTTATTTTTTGCTACACCATGTCCATCAATTAGAGATCCTGCATACTGTAAGCTGTTAAAGTAAAGTGTGATCCAGAAGACTGCCAGGAGAAAATTTTCTATGACAGTCTTTGTAGCACACTATAGAGGAAGGAAAAATTGAGTGCTTCGGTCTATTTGGGATTTTGTGCTCTATCAGTTGGAGAAAATTGTCAAAGGGGGAAATATAGGAGACTTCCACTTTTCAGTAAGAATCAGAATATCTTTGAAAACATGCTTATAAAAATTGATGTCATAATCAGAAGCAAACTTATAGTTCCCATATGAAAAGTATTTCTTGCTATTCCTGAATTATCTACATTCAGAAACTCTAATGGATATACTGAAGATCCTCCAAGGGTTATCTTTGGTTTAAGATCAAATACCCATCCTTCAGTCTTATGATATTCTTGCCCATATAGATATCAAAGAAACTGAATCTTCAATGTTCTCTTTCATACATTTCCATTTCATATGAGTTCACAAGCATGTTTAAAAAGTTTCATCTTAATAAACTGGTCTCAAGTAGACATAGAGTTAATTCCATACTTAGATGTGCCAATGAAAGTCATATTGATAAAGAATTTTTTTTAAAAAGATAATGAACAAGGACATATTTTACCAGATAAGTCTTCTATCACCACTGATAACACTAAATGCTGCAAACTAATTATTTCAAAGACAGGTTGAAATTTCAATTGTCAATTAATCATGCTATCAGTAGGCCAATCAAATGTGAAGAACATAAGATCTCCTACAGAATATAAAATTCTTGAATGAAAGGCATTCACTAAATAAGTCACTGTTCAAAGGAAAGTGTTATTACAGAAGACAATTACACTTCCAAAGAGAAACACACAGCAAAGAAAAATAAGAACATATCAAAAAAACATATTCAGAGAAAAATAAGATAAGAGTTTATCGTCCAGAAGGAGTACAGTAGTCAAAGTAGAGAAAAGGAACAGTTTCAGCATATTAGATAATTAAATATACTATCATAATATTTATGAAGAATAGCCAGTTTGGTACAATAGTTAAGGTACCAGGGTAGAAACCAGGAGATTATAAATTCTAGTCTCCTTAGGTACAAAAGCCAACTGGGTGACTTTGAGCAAGTCACTCTCAGCCTTAGGATGCAAGCAATGGCAAATTTATATTTTTAATATAAATAGAAAGAACAACATACTTCTGAAAATGTTACTAAGAAAACTGTAGAGACTAGGTGCCAAGGATCAACACTGACTCAAAAGGACAAAAAATAAAAATGAAAAGGTGTTCTAAAGATGATTCAAGGGAACAGTAATAGATATCTGCTTACCAGTGGTATCTTTTCCTTCTTGTTTCAGGTATCTCAGCATTGCACTCATACTCCATTTATTTCCATAGTCCTCTACTTCAGGATCATCACAACTAAAACATAAGAAACACCTTTTATCCTGACCAACCATGATAGAATGCTACCTCCAAATTCTGCTTGGTTAATTCATATTTTCATGTATTGTTTGATTGTACTTAATAATTGCTTTAAAACACTTTTGTTTTAACATAATACAAAAGAATTAAATAAATATAGAAACAGACATTTATTTCCAATTCAAGCTCAAGAAATCTAAGTACCTGACATAGTCACCACTCTTCTTGTTGACACTATAATTTGTAAGATGCATGAATTGGTTTTTAATATTCTTTGATCCCTGGTCATATCTCACAGTTGCAAACCTACAAGACAAAAATGGACATAACAATCTTTAATCAAAATAAAACTGACCAATTTTTTCAGCTGATGTTCCTGAGTTAGCTTCAAAGGTAGTCCCTGTTGTAGACCATGCTGAAGTAATCTACACATGAAGTAACAAGATCATAATTCACATATTTGTCAGGGCATTCTGGTCCAAAAAAGCCTACAATTGGTGAACCAGCCAAAGCAGAGGTCTTTCCTGGCCATAGCTTCCAGCAGGAGATACAAATGCATGAGGATCCTCACCACTACAAATTTTCAGGTCAAGCATGACAGGGTCAAAATTGGAACTAAAATAAAGCCAGACCAATCACCAACAAACAGCAGCTCCACCTTGCAGGGATTTAATCTGACTATAGGATATCTCTCATCGGTGTAGTACAGTGTTTAAAGTACTAAAGTAGGCGTTGGGAGACTCAGGTTCTAAACCTCCCTTTGACATGGAAGTCAGCTTGGTCACTTCTTCTTAGTTCAGATCAGCATCACTCTGCAACAAGTCAGCTGAAAAACAAAAACCCGCATCACACATCAGCAGCTTCACCGGCAGCACTACAGAGAAGGTAATGCAAGCAGAACCTGTAACCAAGTGGGACAAACACTACTACTACAATAGGATGGTTGTTACCATTAGACATGAACCTTCATCAGACTGAGTAATCCTAAGCAACAGAAATCAAAATTCAAAAAGGGATTCCTTGAAACAAAGATAGTGACCGCTTTCTATTATTGATACAATAAGGCCATCTGTAAGTTCTCATTCTCAGAGTATTTAACAGCATAAACATTTACTACATTATATTACAATCACCCTCTTAGCATTAAACAAGAAAAGCACTATATTCAGTTAAATATATATACAGTTAAGTGGAACCTGAAAACATGCTTGCAATAGCTATCCTCTTTCTTGCTGTCTCTTCTCTACCAAGCCAGAATGCTTTGTTTCTAGCCTTATTGAAGTGAGAAATATACATTCCACAATCAAGAGAGAACACTGAGGAGCAGAGCATTACCGCATTATTTTGTTCTGTTCAACCACAGGCAGGGATACTGTTGAGTCACTCTCTTGTGTCACGTTCTTATCTCAATGCAGGAAATGTTTCAAAATCACTTTTAGCAATTAAATACAATGTGGATGCACAGATTACAAATGAGTGACAGAATGTAAAGTTTATCAGGGCACCAGAATATTATTCTGATAACTGAATGGCTCAAAATAGTAACATACTACTGTAAAACAAACTCTTTCCAGGATCTGGTAGTTTCCAATTCAAAGACGTTTATGCTTCCCCTTTTTCCAGGTCTGAATTCTGCCCCACCCCATCCAATCCTCTATACTTAATCACAGTCAGATCTGCCTCATCTCACAATGGTGTTTACTGTCTTGATTCCTCTTCCAAATTCCAACTATCATTCTAGCTTCCTTTCTTTCTCTTTTTAACCCATCCATCAAGGGTGTTCCTTCATTTTCACAGTAAACCTGACACTCTGATCAAGGAGACCAACAGCTGCAGCCAGTTTAATCCTAATGTAATTAATCTGCATTAGATAGAAGTACAAAGCATTGTGACTCAAAACAGACACATTTGCTATTTAAAAAAAAAGACATTGATCATGGAACCTGTTGCTATTTTCCCAGTTCCTAAGTTATCTTTGTTCCTAAAATATCAAGGGCCTGCCAGGCAGGGGTTACTGTGAGAAGGACTGAACTGCTGTAACAGACTCTGGCCACAATACAGCCTATGAGGTAATCTGAATTCCTTGGCTCACAGTAAGTACCTGAATTCTTTGAAAACCACAGGAATCCATAGAGAAAAGGTAAATATCTCCACGGAGCCAGCACTAATTAACAAGCAGGGTAACAAAAGGAGAGGGCAGGAGGAGGCTCAAGAAAACAGGAAAGCCCAGTGTCAGACATGACAAGAGGCTGCTGCTGGCTCCTTCATTTCAGAATGTGAATGACTGCGCAGCCATATCCATTTTCTACCCACCCTCTCTCCTTCTCTGGGCCCCTCAGAAGTACATCTGATTTTCTGCTCAACCCGCCATACTTCCACAAACAGTTCTATGTTTTCTCTAGCTTACCACTAGTTTAACTGCAAGTGTTTGCTCAAAAGATACTAGGCCCCAAATTGCCACCTCTTCAAAAAATTTTCTTAATAGATGAAATTTTCTGATTCCAAACAAAGAAAAGCTGATTTTAAGCCTGAAAATAATCAACCTTGTGCCTGACTGCCCCCTGCTGGTTACTATTTTATGTAAAGCTTGCATATCCTCAAAGGTAAAGAGTGTGTACGTGTGTGTGTGTGTGTGTGTGTGTGTGTGTGTGTGTGTGTACACATATGTGTTTGCAAGATTGACAAATCCAAATTTTATGTGATTTTATCTGGCTTTACAAAATTGAAATTTGAAAGTCCAAGAGTATTTGTCAATTATGCTAAAATATTCATATAAAATTGCATTTCTCAGTATCGGGAAAACCAACTATGAAATGGCAGCAAAAGGGTTTTTGTCGCCATCAAAAGATCCTCTGGATTTTTGCAGCAAACAGGTGGTCTCTGAAATTATCTACTATAATTTCAACTTTTGTAGAGGATGAAGGGACAAAACAACAAACCTCTTTCTATTAGCAGATGTTATTTCTAAAGGACCAAGACAATGTATGAAATTTTTACATTTTTTCACCTGTGAACAATATGTGACAGAATTCATTCACAACTATTTTTTAAAATTTAGAGCAATAACATTATTATCCTTCCTTTCCTATTTACACTGGTTTATGAGTCTCATAAGCATATATGCTTGGAAGAAAGAGCAATATTTGTATAGTACGGAAGTGATTTGTGAGGTGTCTACACAAATACACAGACTACAGGAACAACAAAACAAGAACTAAGAGAAAGAAAGGCAGGAAGATAAATATCATTTAGCAGGCATTGCTGGAACCTGCTATGACAAAATTCATGAGAAGGAGGCAAGGACTGAGGGGCACAAACTGGTCAAATGGAACAGGTCAGATGTGAAGGAAGATTAGCATTATATTTGAAGGAAATGCATGGATATACTAAGATGTAAGCATGAGACTCTAAATTTGTCAGGAGCATTTGGGCAAGAACTGAAAAAATGAAGAAAAAAAAGATAGAAATGTGAGGTACACTATATCCTGCCAAGACTGTCAGAACTTCTGGATAATACTCCCCTGGTCCAGATCACATTATTTTCAGGGAGGAGACATATTGTCATATTGGGAGACTATCTGGATATCTATTAGTAGACCAACTCAGCTAAGACTGCAAGACAGTAGTGGGATTCAATTTTTTTTTACTACCAGTACTGTACGCATGGCAGGGGAAGGATACTGTAAAATCTCCAGTCAGAGGTGGTATTTGCTGGTTCTCTGAACTACTCAAAATTTCCACTACTGGTTCTCCAGAACTGGTCAGAACTTGCTGAATACCATCTCTGCTGCAAGATCCCAAAAATGCTGTTTCATTTTCCAGAAGATTTAAAAAAAAAAACCTAAGAGGATCAGCTGGTTGAAAAGGAAAAAGAAATTGGATGTCTTGGGAAGATGTCATCATATAATCTTGAAATTCAAGATATTATAGAAACAGAAACTAACATATAGTTGTACATGCATACTAGCTGAGCCAATTTCAACAAGCTTAGAAAAGAGCTAGGGACAATCCTATTGGCAGAAATCCTCAGACCAAAGGAAAGACAGAAGTGTTCAGAAGTTCTAAAAAATAAGATACTGGAAGAACAATCATAAACCACTATAATGAGGAAAAAATATTTGGGGGAAAGTTTGGAAACTACTGTGGATGCTTAGGGAATTTGGACTGAGCCAAGTTAAAAGGGAGATATACAGGAAATAAAGATAATGTAATCACCAACAAAGTCTACCAAGAAATAGCTATTACCTAAATAAAGTAATCAAAAAGACCCAAAGAATTTAGGCTCACAGGCGAAGGTAAAAGCAACAAAAGCTATTTTTTTCTTGGCCAATGCAGTTATAACAGAAAAGGGAAAGTTAGGTCCAGTTTGAAAAAGCTGAGATAAGGATCCTCAACAAGTATCTTGAGTTTTCTCCTCAAAGGGAAACAGAATGCAAATGGACTGAAGCAAACAACCATCACAGGAGAAAGCAGAAATCCAAGGTAAATAAAGAAATGGCTGCTAACAAACATATTTGCAGGACCATAACAATTACATCCACGAATCTTCTTAAAAACCTCACAAATATCACCCCAAAGCTCCTATTATGATTTTTGAGAAATTATGAACACAATCCATAATTAAAGAAAGACAAACAGTTGTTCCTATCATCAAAAGGGACAAAAATGGATCTGGGTAACTATAGAATGCTCAGGCTGAAGCTGTTACTGGGTAAAATTCTGAAACTAATTATTAAGCAATTGGTTTGTGACCATATAGAAAATAACCCATTGCTTGACAGAGGTCATCAAGGGTTTATCATTGCAATTCAACTTGACTTCCTTTTTTGCAAAGTGAATAGTTTAACTGACCATGGAAATGTAATAAATTCAAGATATGACTTTGCATATCTTGAATTCAGCAAAGAACTAGGCAAGGCCTTCCATGAAATGCTAATAGCAAAGATAACGACATGTGGGCTGGTCTGTGTTATCAAAACTGAATGAAGCATCATAAGAAATATCATCAATGACTCCACATCAAGTTGGAGAGAAGTATCAAATGGCATACCATAGGGATCCATTCCTGGCTCTATACTGCATACTATATCTATGAATAGTAAGTTAGAAAACATTATCAAATTTACATATGATATAGACATAGGGGAGATAGTCAATTTCCTAGAGATTTTCAGGATTCAGAAGGAATCCTGTTCAGAATTTCTGATTCTGGAAGAGAGAGCATAAAACAGTAAGATAAATTTCAACAGGCACAAATGCAACTTCCTACATTTAGATAGGAAAAACAAAGGCACATGTGAGGGAGATGGAAGGCTTCTAAATTAGAGACAGACAGACAGAAGACAAACAAGGCAGGATTGGTGGGGAAAGAGGAGAATCATCCTTGACAGCACTATATTTTAGAAGACGACAGGTGTTTTCATCTATCAGAAACTAAATATTCAAATATGATCCTATCCAAGTTTAATATCAAGATCAAGAAGTCATCATTATCCTCTATTCTACACAGGGCAAACCATATCCACAACATTGTGTCCTGACTGGAGGAATCCATTTTAGAAAGGAAGTATGTCCAGAAAACAGTAATCAAGAAGATAAGGATTTCAAAGAGAACAATTCATGAAGAACAGCTGAAAATACTGCAAATGTTCAGCTAGGATAAAAGGTGGCAGGAAGACATGAAAGCTGAAAGGCTATCTTGATACCTAAAAAGCTATCATGTAGATCAGGGCTGTCAAACTCGCAGCCCATGTGCCAGGTGCATCACATGCTGGCCACGCCCCCGCCCGGGTTTAGCAAGGGGGCGGAGTCCTGATATATCACATGACGATGACATGATGATGTGAGTTTGACAGCCCTGATATAGGTGGTGGGACAAAACTGTTAGAATGGTTCCCTATGACAACAATCAATTGTTCTAAGTGACAAGGAAGCAGATTTTGATCAGGGAAAAAAAATCTTTATTTTAGGAGTTGTCCAACAATGGAGTAGACTGCCATAGAACAGAGATGTTTAAACAGAAGCTAGGTAATCATCTGTCTAAGATGCGGAAATAGAGACCACTTGTTCTTCAGGATCCCTTCCAATTCTTACTTCTATAATTCTATAAAATTTAGGAAATGCAAAAATATCAGCAAGCAAAGAATCTTTAAAATTTGCTACTGTTACCAAAAGCCAAATGCAGGAAAATATGCTTCATATATTACTACATATATTCAAAATTTCTCCACTACTTGAATACTTGTAGCTCAGCATTTAAAGAATTAAATTCTCTGAGATGAAGGTAGAAAACAGAGTAACTCAAAGTGAGAGATACTAATATATAATTATTCTTCATAATTTTTAATTTTCCAAAGTTCAGAAGAACTACAAGATCAAGCAGTCTCTTGCTATTCCTAACTTATACATAAAAAGAAAGCTTGATTCCTGCTCTGCCACTTCACATGGTAAGGCATTCAGCTTATATAACATAAGACACAAAATCAAGACTTACCGGGCCAAACCTTCCTCATAGAGATAGATGACAAGGGGATCATAGGATGTCACCAAAACATAAAGCCGCACATCAAATTTGAAGTCTAAAAAAAGGCACAATCATAACTAGTTGTCAGAAATTTTTCAGAACAGTGAATCTACATAAGGACAGGGTATAGAATTAGATATTTTCAAGAACCATTTAACAATCAAGTACCAATGAATAGAAATATTTCCTGAGCTTGGATAACAATTATACAGCATTTACTACAACAACAGCAAAATAGAAAACAGAACTACTTTCTTATGGATCATTGACTTACTCTCAATTATCTTCAATTTTTTTTAAAAAAGCAACACACCCAAATTTTAATATTAACTCACCATCTATGAGAAGTGGGTTGTTGATGTAACGGGAAACCAGGATGTTTTCTTCAAGGGAAATTTGATTTGGCTATAGGATGAGATAGACAGTACAATGGAATGAAGAACTGAAAAGTTGAATGCTGATTTCACTAAGTGACTTTGCCCATTACCTTTCAATGAATATTTATTGGGTTAATGAACTCCATGGTGAACCCTAATATTTTCTCTTTTTTTCCCACAAAACTTTTCAATGCCAAACAGGGCAATTACGGTGTTGTTCTCATGCCAAAACATCCAAGTTATCATGCACAACATTATAATACAAAAGGATGGGCCCGTTCCTCACTGGCAAAACAGTTTTCACCTGCCTTACCATCGATTGGTATGGATCCAAATTAATGTAATATATGCTAGAGAAGTCACATGTATAATATGCATAAACTTCAGATTATATGTGAAGAAAATCTTAGAACTCCTTCCTTCCTTCCTCCCTTCCTTCCTTCACCTTTGAGTCAGTGTTAATTCCTGGCAACTGCCTGAACTAGTCCATCGGGTACTGTTGATAAAATTTCAGAATGTCTTCCCATTACTTTCTTCCTAGGGCTGAGGGTATGTGACTGGCCCACTCAGCTAACTTTGTGAAATAAACACACACACACACACACACACAGAGAGAGAGAGAGTTCTAATGACAATAAGAAAAAGTTGGATCAAACATGATTTTCTATTGCAGCAGCCATCATTCCAAGAATCATGTGCAACAATAGGTCAAGTTAACTGCAGTTACAGAAGTTTGTTTTTAGTAAGTATGACATACACACACAAAACATTCACCTAATTACCGAAAAATAAGTAAACTTCCCTTAAGAATGTTTGAGAGTGCTCCATACATGGAACAAATATGACATATTTGTGAATTTTGCAATCCTTGATGGAAAATGGTTTGAGAGCTTTTTCCAGGTTCTGACCTTTTGTTCACATATTACTTTTTCTTGAAGCAGATCTTGTCCAGCTTTGGAAAGATTTGCTTCATTCACTTGGCCAGCAGTTCTTTAATTCCATGGGAAACAGCCAGGCTGAGAACAGACGAGGCAAACTGACCCCTTCTAGATGAGATTTGGGGAGGGGGGGAAATGAAAGTTTTCACTAACTGAAAGTAATGACTCACAGTTTTATGTTATATCTATTCCAGGAACACCTACCCTACCAGAATGATTAAAGAAACCAACTGCTTATTCCATACCATTTATATGATATAAAACTTCCCAAGTGTCTTTAGTCATCAATCCACAAAGTGAGGATTTGCAAAAACATACAAACTTCATATGTGTATGCCACCATCTGATTATAATTTTAACTTTTTCTTAAAAATTGTACCTCAGTCATTCCCAGAATGTGTTTTCATCAATTTCTGATATAATACACCCATATGTTAAAAACATTCACACGCCAGTCTCATTTTCAGCTTCTGTTTTGTATACCTGACTTTTTTGGAGTGTAAAAGTACAATGCTCCGGTTCCCACATCACACAAAGCCATAATGTGAGTTATTTGCTTTCAGCTTACCATAATATACAAAATCACCTATTGTGGGTTAACTTTAAATATGAATAGGGTTATTATGCTTTGTTCAGAGAACTATGGTTAGAACCCCTATTCAAGTTTAAGCAGGCTTAAATTTCTAGTAAAAATGGGAATAGGCATTCATTTCCTCTTTTCAAGACTATAATTTTTACTGCAGACTTAAGCAAGTGACAGAACAGTAAATTGATTCAAAACTGCACATTAGTTTCTACTGTTAGCAATCTATCATATTTTGGCAGAGAAAATATACAGAATACAGGAGGCAGTGAGTCATCAAACTAGCCATATTTTGAAGTTGTTAGATTGTTTTTAATGCTTACATTATTGATCAAATAGACACCCCGTCCCCTAGAAGAAGCCACTGGTTTTACTATCCAAGGTCCCCTGTCCTTTGAATAGGAAGCTAGTTGAAGGGAAAAAAAGGACAAATACATACTTCAGTATTAAATTTTCTACAAAAATGTCACCAAACAGTGATAATTTTGGCCAGTAATACTTGCAATTTTCAGTATAGTTTATTAGTACACTCAACCTTGTTTACCAATCAACCATTATCAATAGCTGAAACAAAATTATATTTCATATTCAGAAAAAAAATATTTCATATTCATAAACACATATAAACAATTGTGAAGTCTGGAGAGGGCACAAAACTCTACCATGCACCCTTTGAACAGGTACACACAGTTTGTATTTCAGGATATCAATGTTTAGTACACTTCTGTTTGTATGTGTAAAATACTATATTTACTTCAAAGTAAGTTTTTTTTTTTAATAAAGAAAAAGAAGCAGTAAGAGAAAACTAAGAAACTCAATAAGCATTTTTCCTAGGCTGAGCAAGTATTAATTTTTTATCCTTTTATATTATGGCAAGTTTCACTGAGTTTAACCATTTTTATTCCAAGATAAAAATGTTGAGAATTTCAATTCCGATTCTGATATTATGAAATATTATGTCACTGACTAATCTGGTTTGAGAAGAGCAAAAACATGCTAATCCAAACCTTCTTTTGAACATAGAAACATAGAAAACTGATGGCAGAAAAAGAACTAGTGGTATACTGAGTCTGTCCTTTGAGGGTTTTTTTTCCATTTTTAATTTATTATTTAATTATTATTTTACTTTTTATTTATTTTTAATTTTTGTCAGATTAAAAAAAAACATTGACAGGGAACACTCTAGAAAACTGTGAAAAGCCCATTTTAAAAGGACTATTTGTGGACTCTAGACTCTAGACTTCTTTCAAAAATCTTCCCTCTCAATCTGACAAATATTAGAGGACCCCTGGTTACTTATTGAAGGACATGATTGCTCTTCTTTTTGGGTACATGCAGTAATCAAACCCAAAGAACTGTTTCATTCCTGTTTTTCTCTAATAAAAAATTCAACTACAGTTTACAGGGGATTCAATAAATTAACAAAAAATCCAGGAATACAATAGAAACATTACAGAATGAAAATTTCCCATTCAGTTCTAGCTTTGCTTATGAACTGGTAATCGAGGTCATGGACTTACTGCAAAACTCCTGATATTCAGCTGGAAGGATGAAGGTCTGAGGCAAAATATGGAAGGTCTTGAATCCATAAATCTGTTGCATTCGATTAATGTTCTTATATAGTCTATCTTTCCGAGTTAATTCATATGACCTAAAGACATGTAGATATAATTTGCTAGTGTCACCTTGCTTATGAGGATTTTAAGAATTCATCATTACAATTAAACTTTCATTCTCCTGACTTTCATTCAGTAGACTTTGGATGTAACAGATAACATTTTACTTTAGATTTCACCCCCCAAAACAAGCAGTCTATTGTTTCTAAAGCATTCTGGACAAAAGTAATTTGCCACAATTTACATTATGCAAATTATATAACTTGATACAATTATTTTGAAGCACTGGCTATGTAATTATGCAAATGTAAATCATTACCTCATTAATTTCATATTTCACAGAATTTTGGATTTAATTGATATACTTTTTCCCAAAATGATGCTTTGAGTCAAACTTTTATTGTGTGATTTCATTCACAAGCCTTGTGAAACATTTAATGCCTTAACATGACATTGTAATCATTTCGCTACTAAAAGCATATGTACAACACACCATTCTTCTATTCCCTCAATTGAAGTCATTTCTAAATAGGAATGGACAATATTTTTTTAGTATTACAGTCCTTCCAAGATAATCTTGGATTCAATGTGGACAGCCGCATTCTGCTAATCTTAAAATCTTCACTCATGCATTTTCCTGTTCACATATACCCTTCAATGTAACCTATCCAACCTCTGTTTCATCATCTTACATCTATCTCTAATGGCTCACTGCCTTATCAAATGCCTCCAAACCTGAAGGGAACTGAGGATAGATGAATGTCTACTCATGCTCAGAGCCATCAATAGCAACAGATAAAGTATAGAATGTTGTCATGCCTTGGGTATAAAACTCTGGATTCATGCATACATTTGTCCACCATCCCATTGTGTTACCTTCAAGGTCATGAATATGCCAAATTTTAAGAGTTTTCTGTGCAAGGGAAAACAACTTGCAGTATCCCAAGATTTTTTGTAGTAACTGCTACTACCCATTTCCACTGGCTAAATTAAAGGTAAATTTAAATAGCTCTGGCACTAAATAATACAGGAAAGGCTTGAGGGAATAAATTTGTTAATTTTGTTTTGCTCTGGTCACACCCACTTCTTCACTTACCCACACACTTAAATCCCTTACAGTAAGAGATGCCATCAAGATTTACTAAATTTAGCAATAAGAAATATTAGCAAAAGCTAAAAGCCTTGGTAAAAGCTTTTTTGTTTTAACAATTTTACTGAACCTTTAGAATAAAGCTGGGCACTTGGAAGAAATGGAAATATAAATGATCTGCAACTTTTGTCAGATATAGTATCACTCTCCGAAGAATGAGTCTCTGTTCTGTATCATATTATTATAAGATGCCACTTCTTACCTGGGAAAGTGATTCACTTTTTGAATATCTGTGAGAGTTCGCAGAACGTAAGGTTTTAAATGTGACCCTGTCCACATAAGATTATATTCATTACTGCTGGGATGCACCTGGGAAAAGATATGGTTGAACATTTTAATAGTTAACCAGCTGAATAACATTTTATTACCTCAGAATCCATAACTTGGACAGCATTCAAAATTAAAAGAGAACAATTTCACTCATACAACAGGACCTGTCAACTTCCTTTCCCTATTCACAATGTGCTCTGAAGGGTCTTCCACCCAGAAGAAACTATTAAAATGTTAACGCTATCAGAAAAGCATCATCAACCAGAAGAATTCTACTTGATTCAAATAACTGTAGTAAATAAATGATTATTAAAAAGTAGAGACAATATGATTTCTAGTCCAGAAAAAATGCTGTCCAGTTATGAACATTTACAGTTGTTACATGTTGATTTTAATTTTGCTATTTATTCTATATTTATGACAGATTGCACATATACTTTGTAGAACAAAAATATGTACAGTCATATCTACAAATTGAGCTTCTTCTAAAATACTATAAGTGCACCAAGAACTTCAAGCAAAATCTCTCTTAAACACATCATATAAGAGAAAGAAATATAAGTTGTAGCATTACAGTGCTAGACAAGACACCAAATTAAAGGAGAAAACACCTTTTGCTTTTTTTTGATTGGCTTCAGGTTCCTCTGGATTCTGATCCATAATGATCTAAAAGCAGTGCAAACAGATTTAATTTTCAGGTCCATGAAATTCACAAATAAACATACCTCCCGAAATCCATGAGCTGACAGAATGCTACGCACCAAACGACTGTCCGTTCTCACAATTTTAAAAGACAAGTGATAGCGCTCTGGGAACAGAATACAGAATTATTATATAAATACAATTATAATCTATTTTACCAATTGTAAAAGAGATTTTCTCAGAACACTTTATTGTTTATTCTATTCTGCATAAGATCCGTACAATAAAGCAATCTATAGCCTTCTCTTATGTATGTACATTTATTTATATGTTTCATTGGGAGACAGGATTCACATGAATGCATTCAATGTAGATAAAGATATATGAATTATTCAACTATATTAAAGATACTGTATACAAGTGGGTCACATGGGAGAAAAAGTTTGGTTAAAAAAGTATGAAAAACTGAACAATGTGAAGATGTTTTGTATTTATATTCTTTTTTCCTTTTGTTATCTTAAATTCAAAGTCAACTTCATTTTAGGTAAATATAACATGAAAAAAAGATTCTTAACCCTTACAAGCTTCAGACAAAGTGCAATACTACATTTTAGGTCTTAGAACCTTCAGTTACATAAAAAATACTCTTTAAAATTTCTCCTCTTAAAGAAGTCATAAAATCATAGCAGATTACATTTATATTTGAAAATATCTAAAAACTCTAGCTCAATATATTAAAAAAAATTATTTGTATAGCAGATTATCAGTATGCCAAGTAAATCTTGTCTTTCAATATTTTTTTTATCTACTCTAGGTGATGTAGGTATTTGAGAAAAATAAGATTTACCCCCAATCAAGCGGATGTAACTGTCCTTGGTTAGAATAGCTTCAGCATGAAATACCATGATTGGAATCCTCCTGAATCCACCTGTCCACATGATACATGGGTGCTCCCTAAAAAAATAAAAAAATTTCAACAGATAAAAAATAACTACTTTAATGATATATGCACAACCTTATTTCAGAAGACAAGTAGTCTTTAATTTAGGCATTATCCTTAATTCAAACACTATTTTTGATTACCAATACTTTTTAAGAAACCTATTTTTCTCCATGCAAGATTAAGAATTTTTGTCTGGGAAAGAGCTTTTTCTTCTTTTTAACATAACATTAGAATAAATATATAGGACAGACACTTACATTTTCCTCTTATAGTTCTTTGTAAATCAGGACACAGAATCTCTGTTATGTATTGTAGCAACATATTCTACAGCAACGCCTCAGCAAGCATCATGTTGCTGGGCTACTATTAAGCCTCACCCGAATGCAGAAATATTGAGAATTGCCCAGACAGCAAATAGCAAAGCATATATATATGTATGTATGTATGTATGTATGTATGTATGTATGTATGTATATGTATATATGTATATGTAGATCTTTGGTTGTTCGGGTTTTCTCCCGCGTAAGATTCGAAGTATCTAGGCAACGTTTCGATGAAGTCTCATTCATCATCTTCAGGCTTCTGTCTCCAGCTCTGTGCTTCT